AAGCATATTCAGTAATATATGTATACCGTCCCACCGAAACAACTTCAGCCACTACCGTCCTGACCATGCTGTAGGTCAGCCACACTCGTCCGTCTAGTCTCCAGTGACGTCTCCAGCAGTCGTCACCGACAGCCTAAAGCTGCGCAGCGACCCGTCCGACCCGGGCGGCCCCAGTGCGAGCACCGCACGCCGCACTGTCCGGGTGTCGCTGGCGGCGGAGTCCGCTTGGCGCGCGCGCGCCATTACCGGCGTCGCCAGCGATGCCGTCTCCAATCTGGCCGGCGGCAATCACTACGCCAATTAATTAGATCTGCCACCGCCGCAGAGGGAGCCGGCCGGCGGCGGCAAACACAGGCACGCTCTGTCGGTGGCCGGCGGACGGTGACGGCTGCGGCGGGGCGGCGGCGCACCCTCGCCGCCACGCCGAGCCCGCTCCGTCGGTCCGCTCTGGCGGTGACGGCTGCCGGCCGCCGCGCGCCCGGTTCGCCGGGGCGATTCAGGCCCTGCCAGCCAGGACCGGCCACGGCGTTGACGCCCGGCTGGGCTATAGCGGTAACTGATAGCGATTTCCTTTGGGATGAGATTTGGCGATTTGTTTTCTTTCGTGGGTCGGGTCTCGTGACGTGTCCGCTCCTCAGGTACAGACAATTTGCTTTCGGAAGAGGAAGCTTCTGGCAACAACTCACCCACCTCGGAAAGCATGCGTCTGCTGACTGTTTAACATCTGGTCAAGTTCGAGCTAGTGTCGTGTCATCCCTCTGAACGTTGTCAAATGTATAGATACATACCCTCTTTGCCTAACATATTTATAAAGATTTAATCCATACCTTTCAAACAGATGAATTTCTGGAATCGGAGGCTACGCTTGCCGCAGTTTCTAGTGTGAGTCGCGGCATCAACCATCCGATCGCGCGTTTGCAGGTCAGCGACGGAATTTGGTGATGAAAGTTAAACGCGCCGCAATTTAACTACCACATACGAAATACGGCATGAGAGATGCAGCTTTGCCTGCCCTGATGCATTCTGACCTACGTTCACCGGGAACGAGTACTGTGATGAACCGCGCGATAGTCAGCGTCTGCCAGACGTAACCATTTCGGTTCGCCGCGCGGACGGCCTGCGATGGGCTGGTCCCGGGGGAGGCGCTGCTGCCCGCCGCCTCGTGAAGGGTTGGTCTCGCGGGTCGTCCTGGGAGGGAGTCCCTTCCGCCGCCCGTCGGCGGCTGGCCCCGCGGGCCCGCCCCAGTCGATGAGGGTCCCATGGGAGGTCGGATGAGGTCAGGCTGGCGGCGAGACGAAGGCGACGCGGCTCGCAGCAGATGACGGGTCGATGTGCGCCCACCAGGAAAGCGTCCGTCGGGGGACGGGAGAGCCGACCGTGGCATTCTGTACGGTCAGCCGTGACCTGTGGGCGCCACTCCCCGGAGATCCCCGCAGTTGAACTGCTGCTGCTGAACGGCGCCGTTGCTCTTTCCATGCAGGGCGCATGACGCGCCGAACGAATTGAAAGATCGCTTCGTGCTATGGCCTTTGACCTGAAATGGTGAGTGGAACGACGCCACGCTATTCGCGTGCCAGCAGGGACTCGCGGAACCCTCCGTGCCGCACAATGATGATCAGCGGCGTTTGTGAAGTAGATATGTACTCAAACCGACTGCACAAAACTGTGCATTTACGGCAGATGGGGTCATTCGGTACTTACGTCCCGCGTCTTGTAACACACATACGTCCTGCGTCTTGTATTACACATGCGCCCCGTGCCTCGTAACACACATACGTCCTGTGTCCTGTAGCGCACACACGTCCTGCGTCTTGTAGTACACATGCCTCCTGCGTTTCAAACGGTAGGCAGCACACCTGCCATCCCTGCGTTAGTCGATCTTGGCCTCGTGTACGCCAGGTCAGTAGCTGCATCAGCCCATGCTAGCCTCGTGTCCGCCAGGTCGGTGGCTGCGTCTGCTCAAGTCACACACAGACACACACGGACACGGCGGCGGAGCGGCGCCAAATGGCAGCGTTCCCACGCCTTCAGTTAGCGTAGTATCGGGTTATCGGAGTCGACGCCCCCTGTCCTGCCCCGTACCTTCGCCTGCGGATGAGGTTAGCGCCGGCGGAAATCCTGCTGGCGTTCGTGAAAGGTCCGCTTGGACGGGCCGTTCGCGGAGGTGATGGATCACGGCTGCTGCCGCGCAGAGCAATGAGCTAAATATAGTTATCTCACCTCGAATGCCTCACTCGTGCTGACGCTTTGAAAGGCTTTCAGGGGAGAGATGGTTTTCACCAAGTTAATGGCTGTCCACGGCTAACGCTGGTGGTGTTCGACGGATGGTCACAGCAGGGAGGAGTTGAAGAACTGAGTGGAGCATATCTCGACAGTATGGGTGTTCGCGAACAGTACGAGTCCCATTAGGCCGGCTCCAGTTCATAAATAACCGTCGTGGAAGTGCTCGAATGTTGGCTGTGCTGAAGCCTATTTGCTAATTTGACGCACAGTCGGGTATGAACTATGCTCATTGTTGGTTGTAAAGCTCCATGTTTCACAGCGTGTGGCATGGTCATAAATGTGAATCAGGGGTGTAGTTTCGCAAATTAGAATAGAGGGGACGGGGAAAGAAAAATGTCTGAAAAGCTGACCCCGAACACACTAAAACAGACTTCACCTAATCCCCTCAAATTTGGGCGGCTCGACTCCCCCCCCCCCCCCGCAACTGATTAGGAAGCTTATCTCCTGATATGAACTGAACAAAAAACTTGATGCGGGGTATTTTTCGACCGCCACGAGATGCTTGGGCTGCAGCATTGTCCGCAATGCTCACGCAGTCAAATGATCATTTCTACATAAATCCAAGTTGGTAACATTTTTGAAAAAGCCGCCACTTTTTGAAGATGCATTTACATCCGCACCTACTATGCATTCCATCATATAAGGAATCAGTAGACACGCAGATAAGCCGCAGAGAGTCACATCTCGGCTGCGTGATCGCTTCAAGAAAAATATTACAAGAGCTGGAATGGCTGGAAGACTTATTTTGTGATCAAGATGAGATATTTCTACATTACCGCACACATTCCGCAACACTGTACATGTGGCCGTAATTCTTAGTGTCAACTCATGTCTCAAAAGACGGCACAGAAGGCTTCCTTCCGGACTAAAAGCTCAGACGACATGGTTTATGCATAGGTGTCCAACAGAAAAACACCAACTAACATTTCACCTTCGATTTAATGGTTGAAAACCAAGGTGTTTACCTTTTATATCAATGCTGCCAGAATTTGAGTTTGCTCAGGACTCGGTAATACCTCAAGCTAGCAATGTCTGTCGGATTGCCTTTATGCTCTAGTTGCGAGCAAAACCATATGATTTTAAGCTATCTGTATGTATTTTTATCTGCGAACCAATTTAAAACTGGAATAGATCCAAAGGAAGCAGCTTTAATTTCAATAGTTGTCCAGCTAGATATGACTTAGATAAAAATAAAGCTTGTGTCATTTGGACAGAGAGACATTACCCACGCAAAAAAGAAATACATTTTGAATCTCAGACATTCAAACAAGATTTTATGCAGGAATACATAAACTCAACATTCATCAAATATGGTTGCCTACTTAGCAAATAAGTAACACACGACGGCAAAACGCAGAACTAAATAGGATTGAAATTATTGTAAGCATCCGCCGCATACTGGAAACGCTAGTTGGATCACGGTAGTATTTTCAACTGAGAAAATTGAGACTTAAGTTCTCGGGAAAAGGCCTACCCACGCAGGTTAGCGTATAAAACTATCAACAACTCTCCGAAGACCTACGCTGAATAATGTTTTGTAGACAGCGATAGACTGGCAAATAATTAAGATGTACCTTAATTCAAACCGCCAACTATAAACTCCGATGCGCTCAGGTGACTTGGATCTGTGCCTAACGCGATGACGCCAATACAGCCCATGATCATCAACTCAACCAGCGTTAATGAGAGCCCTCGCCGTGACGCCTCGCCTTCTGACCTCGCCTCGCCTCGAATTCCTGCCCAGGTGTCTGGTGCATGCGGCCGTGACGCCTCGCCTTTTGACCTCGCCTCGCCTCGAATTCCTGCTCAGGTGTCTGGTGCATGCGGCCGTGACAGCTGGCCTTTTGACCTCGCCTCGCCTCGAATTCCTGCCCAGGTGTCTGGTGCACGCGGCCGTGACAGCTCGCCTTTTGACCTCGCCTCGCCTCGAATTCCTGCTCAGGTGTCTGGTGCACGCGGCCGTGACAGCTCGCCTTTTGACCTCGCCTCGCCTCGAATTCCTGCCCAGGTGTCTGGTGCACGCGGCCGTGACAGCTCGCCTTTTGACCTCGCCTCGCCTCGAATTCCTGCCCAGGTGTCTGGTGCACGCGGCCGTGACAGCTCGCCTTTTGACCTCGCCTCGCCTCGAATTCCTGCCCAGGTGTCTGGTGCACGCGGCCGTGACAGCTCGCCTTTTGACCTCGCCTCGCCTCGCCTCGAATTCCTGCTCAGGTGTCTGGTGCATGCGGCCGTGACAGCTGGCCTTTTGACCTCGCCTCGCCTCGAATTCCTGCTCAGGTGTCTGGTGCATGCGGCCGTGACAGCTCGCCTTTTGACGGGCCTCGAATTCCTGCCCAGGTGTCTGGTGCATGCGGCCGAGACGCCTAGCGATCAGTCATTAATGCTGAGGCATTACCGCCTGTCATCCCCAGATATTCCGCGGCGCCAAATAAATTTACAACAGCCAGCAATCATTTATCAACGATGACCTGACTCCAGATGTCAAACGTTGGTGATGGCTGAACCCACAATTCCCTGTGATTAGTCGCTGACTCCGGTGTGTATTGCGTTGCCTTTTTCCCGTGGGAACACAGAGGCGCCTCGACAGTGCAGACCCTGAACGGCAGCAGACCACACCAGCAAGCATCGAACCACGTCCGTCTCCCCCGTCTCGAGGCAGCCAGGTCCACCGGCGGGCCGACCGCCACCTTCTGACCCGCTGGCGTTCTGTTCCGCAGGTACTACGCGGCAGCGGCGGCCAACCCGTTCACGGCGGCGGCGGCGGTGCGGCTGGCGGCCGCGTCGCCGCCGATGAAGCGAGCGCGTGTGATCGTGCCGCCGCCGACGGCGCCCGTCGGCTCGCCGGCGAGCGGCGCCGGCCAGTCACCCTCCCCGGCGCCGGCGTCGGCGCCAGCACCGGCGGCGCGCAAGGTGCAGGGCACCTTCTGCCTCGACGACTTGAAGACGTACAGTGAGTTGCGGGCTGCTTCGCTCGGACGGAATGCGCTCCCTACTTATATCAGCGTACATAAGAGCACATGTTACCTACACAAGAGCACATGTTATGTGCACACGCCTGTATGTGTAAGAGACGCTCGTACCTTAAATAATTTGCAGATGTAGATACGCATGCAAACACACGTGTGTAGAATGTTAGCCGCAGGGTAGGGTGGCGAGGCTTTGGCCACTTCTAAAATATGCTAGAAGTATTGCGCGAAAAAGAAAGTCGCGCAAAAGAGAGGGTGTCGCCTGTTGTGTGCTTCGCTTTTCAGACGAATCACATACATAAAGACGAAAGGTGTACATTTGGGGAGAAGTGAACATGTCAAGGGGACAGAGGGCAACACATGGTATGAAACGTGAGGCATAACTAGGCCATTAGACATTGTGAATGAGTCAACGGTTCAGAGTAAAACATGAAGCTATTAACGGGGTTAAGTGAGCCGTCCCAGCTCAGTTCTTCCGGGCACGCACTTGACATAAATATGACCCATATACCTGCCCGCAAATATCGATATCATAGAGCTATCATATTTTAACACTTGTTTCGAACTGACTGTACGAGTGTGGCATTGGGTTCATACTCATATGCTATGCGAAGTATGCTCTGTTTATCCCGAGCCCACCCTCCAAGCTGTGCCGCGCGGCTCACGGGTGGTTTGTATTATGCACAGAGATGAGCATGGCCACCCCGGGCATAGATCAATTCGCACACGTCAGTTGCCAACTGACCTTTTGTCACCCGCTCGGGGGCTCATATACATTGGCGCTGTAAAACGGGTCCAGTATCTTTCCCACAGGCTGACATATAGGCGGTCATTCTGGCCACATAAGGATGAGAAGGCTCGAAAGGCTTACAGTGTTTGCAGAAAGAAAGCCCTTAGTGCGTGGAAAAATTCACCAAACGCTCGACTCGTCGCCGGGCTACAATCGGAAGCATCTGGATAGCCTTGACTGCAGAGATCGAGGCTCGTAGAGGTCGAATCGCCCGCTTGAGGGAATACTCTCGTTTTTCGAGACCTCCCCACATATCCGGGTGATATTTCTGCAAGTAAACTCACGCGTCCGCTTTTGTCGGCAAGACGGCAGTTTCAAAACACAGGGCTGGCTGAGAGAATATTGCTGTCTTTCGCATGCTTTGCGATGCCCTGTCTCTTCAATACAGAGCAAACAGAATGAATCGCAACACTTCACTCGTCTACAGTCATGCAATGGTCGCAGTTGTAGTCAGTGCGCGACACATTTTTCGGTGTCGTTGTCGTCTGAAGCTACGGGTACGGCTGCAGGTGCGCTGATTCACCTGCTCTTCGCTTACCTCTCCTGAGTCTATCTGCCCGCCACTTGGTGTGGAAGCGCTGCGATAAATGTGATATCACCACCCCTTGTTTGGTCCCAGTTGTATGTGGACGTGACGTAAGCCAACCATGCATCACGCCAGTACTTTCATAGAATTACAGCTGCCTCGTTATGATTCAGTATACCACAGTATTGATCTACCACAGTATACCACAGTATTGATCAACCACAGTATACCACAGTATTGATCTACCACAGCATACCACAGTATTGATCTCCCACAGTATACCACAGTATTGATCTACATACCAATGGCTGACTGTCAAGTAACAGTTTAGGGATAAGTCAGCAGAAATAAATGTTGTTTAAAGTATGATATATAAACCAAAAAATGCAGTAAATCATCTCCTTAACACTTAAAGCAGCGCATCTAACTGAAATAACGTAATAAAAGAAATAAAAAAGAAAGGAAAAGGAAGGAAATACGATACTTATAGCTGTGTCTTTAAGACATCAAACAAAACCCCTCTCCATTTGTATTTTTGTGCACGCCGTCGTTGGTGACAGAAGCTCGTACATCAAAACAAACTTTGGTTACCGAGCATTGCGTCCTGCTTCCGTCCAGCTGACACAGTTTCAGTGTCCGATGGTGGGCTTACTTTGGGCACCGGCGACCCTCATTGCGATCCTGATTCACCAGCAGTCCCGAAGCTCTCCAGGGCTGCTCAGAGCTCTCCGGCCCTTCCCAGTGCCGGCCCGCATCAGCTGCCGGTGGTACGCCGTTATCGCGCCCGGACATGTTGATAAACTTGTCTGTGGTTTACCTATGTAACCACATACATTCAAGAGCGCATTGCCGATTGCGTTCAGTTGGTTACGTTCGGTGCCAGCGTGGCGGACAAATGGTCATCGGTGGGGCTGAATAGCGCATTGGGTTTGCCGTGTTTTGCACGCTATTCAAACTTTTCACACCGTGTTCATGTTTTCTTTCTCCACTGTCCAAATGTCCCATGTTCAGAAAGGGGCCAATTTCGACACACTATGCTGTCCGTGTATATAACCATGCATGAATTCTGACATGTACATTCTATGCACACGACTTCCTATTGCACCGCGGCGGGAGAACTCGATGAGTCGACATCAAATGTTAATACACATAATGCTGGAAGCTAACTCTGAAGAAGTTAGCTGCGTTAAAAGACACATTAATACCGACTGTTTTGCAGCGTTATTAAATGTGCGACAAATTGCTCTTTTAATCTGCTCTTTCCCTCCCATGCGATAGCGCAAACAAATTTATTTTACCTTCACTGGGGTGAGGTCAGTTGCTACCCCATCAGCGTCCCGCGAGTCGAGACGTGCCGTCCGTTTTCCGGTCGCTTAGAGGACGGAACACAGCGGCCGTTCTCTGCCTCTAAACCCGCCGCCACGTAACGGCCCGGTCGAGCACGGCTTAATTTCGGACGGCCTTCTTTATTTGGCGGCTTTCCGTTTGGCCGGCTAAGCCGACCGCGGCCTGATTGCAGACGTACGGGCGACGTTGATGGGTGCCGGTGTCCGGGCGCGGGCGTAAAGTGTCCGCCCCGACCTCGGCTGTCGCGCGACCGGCGCGGCCGGCGGCCGCCTGAGTTACGGCCGGCCGCTGGCGGCGCGCGCCCCGCCCCCGAGCAGCGCGCCGCCGCCGCCAACGCCACCGGCCCGGCCCGGCACGAGCGGCCGGGGCCTGTTTGGTCGGTAGGAGACGCAGGAGAGTGTGTTCTTTGGGTCTCCGGCGCAGACGGCGTGCGTTGAGGACTGTGGTTCCTGTCTGATCGTCGTTTGCCGCCTTTATTGAATATGGTACCATGTTCGCTATTTGTCAGCAGTGTAGGCTGAAGACAGGCAAATGACGTCTGCATGCCACCACAACATGGCGCAGAAAATGATTAGCCCCAGGTAGAGAAGGGTATTTCTGAACATGGTTCTGGTCTTTCAGAATGTGTTGGGCCATCCATGCTTGTTTTTAAACGGTCCCTATATTTCCCGTGTCAGAATTCAGAATTGCTGGAAACTTGAGGGGCACGTGTCCCTCCAGGAAGGGTGGGGTTGAGGAAGGTTCGCCCTTTGACCAGGGGATGTCCAATGCATTTGCCACTCATCGATTCATCAGTAAACCCGATTCAGGAAAATGGCACTCCCACCGCCGACTGCTTAAGCCACATCGTGTACACGAGTGTAGTGCGGAACAGTCTACGGTGTAGTAAATCAGGAACACTAGAGCAGGCTGCTGTTAGACCAGTGCTGTGGCTGTTGGCAGCACTCAAGACAGGAGAGATCACGGAAAAATTAGCGGTACGTGGAGAGCAAAAGCCCAAGACAAATGTAAAAGAATCAATAAACGAGCTATAATGTACTGTTCTGCCACACACTTATCATTCATAGACGTTTCCTAACCGCACCAAGCACCAGCATATAGCCGTTTCTAGTGAATCAATCTAGACGTGCTGGATATTTTCCGTTTTCGCGCCCCGCTGGAGCAAGAGCAAAGCTCGCCACAGCCTGTCGCCAAAAACGGCTGGGCCGCGGCTGTCGCGGCAGCAATCAGAGTCGAGCGGCAGCCGCGGCTCTTGGGCCGGCCTTTTTACCCCTGCGGCCAAATGTCACGCCAAGGCAGCCACCAGTTTTGGCCGAGGAAATTGTCAATATTGGGAGAGTGGCAGACTTTTTAGGGGCCTGGCGGGAATGTGGAGAAAAGGGCGCCAAGGCACAGTCGACAAAATGGTGTCACAGCGGGGTATACCATGTCGCGCCATTGTATGGTAGTGAGCAATGCTCTATAAACCTATTGCTGACAGGCACTTAACTTCCGTTTCACGACTACTAAGGTTTCCGCTTCATGCATGACTGGCACTAAAATCAGGGATTCTGCGGCATTGTGTTCCGGGAACAGTTACCGGTGTAGAAATCCCTGATCTCTTTTTTGTGATGGCCTTGCTACAGTGTGTTTTTTTGGTTTAATATCATGGACCACTTTTGCTGAAAGGACGCTAAACGCCCCCACACGTCTGCCTCACGTCAAAAACTGCCATCCTCCCGGCATCATTCAAGTAATAGTCCCCGCTGCTCTCAGGCAAAGTTATTTCGATTGCATTGCACTTGGTTATGCACTTGAATGCATTTATCCATTATTCGCTTATGCAATGCAAAAGCCAAAACGCCTTTTATCCACCGAAATACGCTTGACCTTTTATTATTCACTCGCATGCACGTATAGCCCTGTATTACCGCTTTACTCGCTTCCTTCCCAACTGATTTCGTTCCAGATTAAGATAGCGGCATTCAGACCCCTGTAGCCTGGTTACAGATTTTGCCCTCAGATTAATCAGTTTTAAGAAGACTGGCACCGCGAAATATGTTTTCAACGTCACGATTTTTGGAACAAGAAAAAGGTTAAGAGCCTTTGAAACAGCGTTTCACGTTCAACCAATGCATAGCGATGAAAATATTATCAGTTATGCAATTGGGGCTTTGGCACACTGCACCCTGGGGCATTGGTATGAATACTGTTCTGCGGTGCAGGCATCACCGCAGACTACGACGGGGTTCCGGTGGCCTGTGTTTAGGCGCAATCTTTGCAGAAATCTTATTTGGAAATGAGAAAAAATGCGGGTTAGAACAAGGTTGCCTTGAATCGGTAGACGTCAAGCCCTAATATGCATTCTACTTTCCAGTGAGTTTCTTTCGGGCGAGTTTCCTTAACCTTAGCGGTCATGCCTTAGCTCAAGACTTTCTGGTCTAAATATATTGTTTTAAAAAATCAAGGGAAACAAATTTCAAATCATTTCACCCTTTCAAGCAAAAATGTGTTCCAGTCAAACACACCCAGTGATTTTGCGAGAGCTTTGACCTTGGTTTTCAGATGTATGCCCAAACTATTGGCTGCGCGTCCATTAGTTTCACATTGCGTGACACAGCCCGGCAATTAATCGAACCGCCGCACTTGCAGGGTGTTGTTAACAAGAAAATGCTCTCTGTTTGATACCTGTTCAGACCGACCACAGTAACGTCCTTAGCTGCCATCCGCCTGAGGTGGACCTTCGACGCTGAGCTGACGTGCTGCCAGGTAACCTGACCGACCGATCTGCTGTGTAACGGTAGCCGGGTCTTACAAAGGCTCACCCCACGTCCCGCTGTATGTCAGCATGCCACCCAGGCCGGCAGCGGCGGGCGCCCTTGGTCTGCCAGCTCTTCGCCTGTCGGTGGCGCGTAGGGATTTTCGTATCGCGCGGCCCCATCCTGGAGCTGCCTGCCGCCGATCATCACCGCCCCTCGCACCCGCAATGACGGCTCAGTTGTAAAATTGCTTGCTTGCAGTTGTGTACCATGCCATGATAGTTCAAATTTGTCATTGATTATATTTTGACGAAGTTATGTAAATGACTTGTTGGCTGATAACGCACGAATGTGGTCACGTTGTCGTCATGTTTTGATATTGCATTCATTCTACCATTTTAATTTACCGAATCAAACAATAGGCCCCCTGTTGGATTTCTTCGTGAATGCAATGAAAATGAGCCAACATGAACCCTAATGCTCCAGCCAATAGCAAAGCTCTCACACATAAAAGTTGTTGATGACGACCCGGTGAGTAACTTTGAATGATGCAGTTCATTGTCAGCAGAGCCCATGTTGACTGTGCTTGCCTCACGCTGTGCCGTCCAGCACACCAGCACACCTGAACTGCACTCCAGCGAGACGACGTTATTCTGATCTCGTCCGATCGCTGTTGCAACTGGGAACACCAACCCATTGTGATAAGTAAATATCTACTAATGCGGGTGGACCTGGCTGGTCCAGCCTCCCCCGTCCGTTACACTCGATCACATGTCACCGCTCTCCAAGCTCTTCTATTCTGTCCGATGTTACCTGTTACCTTGCGGTTCTCTGAGATTATCGTCCCATCCGATAAAAATAATAAAAACACAAATCTAGATAACATTAACACAATTGCACCTGTAATGCTACGTGTGCCCGCTGCACATTGCTAGTCGAGGTACTTTCTGTAGATGATCATTGCCAGTTGCTTTCATACTACGATATCATCAGCTAGTAATCTATTGTGCTTTAAACACAAGAAAGTCGAAGATATCGGCCTGCGGAGGCATCGGCCTTCACGGCCATGACAATTTTTGACGTCAGCGCAGCGGCGCGGCGTAAAAGAAGCGACAAAAACATCCTCACAAGGTGCTCCGAAATTCTAGCACTTCTGCTCAAAAACGCTTTCTGTCCTTTGTATGCACCATAACGGAGATAACAGGCGTCCGACGTAGACACTATACCTGGTCGTTGCTACGTGTGCGCCTGACAGCCCCCTTTAGAATTAATAAGTCACGTCAGCATGATGGCACAGGCCTGTGCACACTGACAAAGTCCTCAACTTTCCCGTTCATTCGCTGACGAATAGTTTCAACTTCCACGGGCGAGTCCAAGGGATCAGAGTCGATACATTTAGCACGCAATGGTCACTATTCAGAAGCACTGGACATCGTGTGTGCTCAGGACAGACGAGCCTGGACAAACGACAGAATAATTGTTCGGACTATCGTTCTCGTCTGGCATGTTAGTATGCACGCAATGGCAGCCGGTTAACTCTTCAGCCGTCGGCAGGTGTTACTGAGTCTTGAGGACACGTAACGACAGCCGAAGAGTTAACCGGCCGAAACGCTGCACGCATACTAAGACGAGGACGATAGCGCGAAGAATTATTCCATCCACAATACTGATACCTCGTCTCGATCTTTCCGTAAAACTAGACTGCACTAGCCGGTCCAGCAAGCGTCGTCATCTTACACATTTTGTTGGGGCATCATGCCTGGTGGGTAGATAAGGTTGGGATGAATTTATTTTGGCTTCCATAAATTGTTCGAAGGAGGCCCCACACCTTGGCCTCCCAGGTCGTACTATTCACTGGCTGACTAAAGGTCGTTCAGGGTGCACCTAGGTCTACCTGCCCACCTACTCACCTACATATTGGTCGGTACTCATGCATATACGGAACTAACCAACACGACTGACAAATGGATGTAATGCCTTTGATCCATTAACATTCCTTGGTACAGCTTATCACGTGTTTATCGAAGTGGGATACCCTCGCCGTCTTACTGGACCGCAGGCGCGACTTCCAGCAGGGACGTCTACGGCGCTCAAAGGGAGGGCTACGGTGAAATTGCCCTACCCCTTCGTTACGCCACTGCCTGCTGCCAAGGGCGCCCACGTGGGCGCTACAACCAAATGGCTCTCCCCTAAATACACCCACGACCGCTGTAAGCTGTCGTCGGCGCGGACGTGTGTCGTGCCGAACCTCAGTAAGCCGGCCCGCGCCGAGCGTCAGTGAGCCGGCCTGTCCTGGTCCTGGTCCTGGTTCCGGTCCTGTTACCGGACTGACAGGCGACAGAAAGCACACGAGTGATCATGGGGCAGGCGACGGCCGGCGACCGTCCGATGCTGAGTCCTGACAATGGCGGGGAACGCTGCAGCGACGGCAGCCGTTAGTACATGGACCGCGAAGGCGGCGCGCCGATCGGAAGTGTCGGGACATTGACCGGGAGTGTCGCACCACTGGTTTTAAGCGCCGGCTGGGATTGTTGAGACACTGCTCGGGCACTGGACACTGTTGGGGCGAGAGATTAGCGTTGTAACGGTCTCCGCTAGTGTCATGACACTCACAACACTGGCAGAGACGGTTACGACACTGGAGTGATGGTGTCACTACATTGTCAGCAGTGTCACACCAGTGGCGGGAACTGTTACACGTCACTGGTACCGTGACATCACACCAGTGGTGGGTGCTGTTACGCGTCACTGATACGGTGACGTCGTACCACTGGTGGGGCTGTTACACGTCACTGGTGCGTTGACGTCACACCTGTGGTGGTGATCGTTATGCGTCACTGGTGCAGTGACGTCACAACGGCGCCAGAACCGTTAGCACGCCGGCCGGGCCCGTCACAACACTGGGGAGATGCTGTCACAACACTGGCGGCAATCGTCACAATACTGGTGGCGGGTCGTCATGATGATGTAGTGACATCGTGGTGTTAGAAGCGGCGGAACGCCAAGTTGTAAATGAAGTAGCCTCGGACCGCGTGACGGCGGTTTAAGTTCGGACGCTTCGCAGAGATGACATTGAGCCAACGAATGAAATGATCAACACGAGTTACGCATAAGCCCTGCTTGAGCTGAGGTATAGAGCGTTGTTTTCCATTCGCTGATATGACTGTTGTCTTATCGATGTGCGAAATATGAATAAGCGAGAAATATTACCAAAATATTTTAACCGCCATGATTATACGAATTTCATCGTTTGAACGGGTAATATGGTGGCCCGCGGATGGTTCTGTATTGGCATCATTACTTTTGGCAATGTGGGCATTACCCTAGGTGTGAAGGCGTTGCAGTCACCTCAGTCTTGCAGCTTAGTCTTACCAAATGGCATGACTATGCTGGCAAATAACGTCAACAGTAAACGAGCGGGAAGCTTTGCCTTGGCAGCCTGCCGTCAGCATTTCACGACATGAATAATGCAGTTTCAATGCAAGAACAACGTTAGTGGCGGGACATTGGGTGCAAATTAAATACCACAGCTGATATCGACCGAAGCGCGCTAAAATGTCACGACCCGGCCATCACAGTCCGCACGGGTCAGAGGGCACGACTGGGCGGCGCCATCACGCCGTTGTCCAGCCTCCCGCCGGCGCGCGGTCGTGGTCGTGCTAATTCAATCCTCCCACTTCGGCAGGTAGTCCAGACATTCTGATCTGCGGCAACTGCAGGGAAATGTTCGGCGATGTCATGGACATGCTGGACCACAAGCGCTGCTGCTGCAAACTCCGTTTCGCCTGCAAATGCGGCGAGCATACGTCTACTAACAGTACGTGTGCCTTACTTTGTTTTGTTATACGTCCATGGAATCGTTCGCTATGCACTGGCATTAAGGGTACGTCATGTTAGGCTGACTCGCGTTAAGGACACGTTATGTTAAGCCAAGTGTGCAGCTCGAGCCACTTGGAGTAATGATGCGCATCAAACGTGGAGAATATTCAAGCCGTTCTGAAGCGGCCCGGGTAGTAATGGCTATAGCTAAATTGGTTATGCAGATGTGCGGGAAATGGCACTTGTTCCTGGGTTCATGAGGTTATAAAACAGCGGTGCTAGTATCCCCAGGGTACATTTTTGACGCTGTTGAACGCATGTTTACATGAGTTTGAAGCAAAACGGGACGTTATGGGTAGAAGCTAAAGTGTGAGCAACTAGCAAAAGGCGTTAGTTGCCATGACGTAAGACTATGACAACCGTTCATGTCTCCCAATTATCAGCGGTAATATGTGTTTCCTTGGGAATGTTTTCACTAATACGACGGCTTCAGTTTCTATGGATGAGACAGAATGTGTATACGGCCTAGCTCAAAACGCTAGCAAGGGTTTTTTTCATTAAAAATGCCAGAAGACGTCGGCAAAGCAGGCAAAAGCGACCATCTAAAATAAGCCACCCAGAGCAAACAAACATGCTAACCTCATTAGTTTCATCTGATTAGCTTCCCAAACAGCGGTTTGCTTTCAGCACAAGCTCTGCCGAGTGCCTGATAAACGTCAGGGCATGCTTTCGCGGTAATGGACCGAAGCGTCACGCTGAAAGAGCAGCGCGAATAGCGTCCTACATCATCACCGTCCGTAATGGCGCTGTAACCGCGGACATTTCGCCGCTCCGGCTCGTCCCTGGGAGAAATCGCGGCTAGTAATTTCCCGTGCGGGGGCCGTTACCGGCACTGGACCGTTGGCGGCGGCTGGCCGGCCGGCGTCGACCGGCCGTGCGGCGGGTCCCGCGCTCTGAGGCCAGTCGGCTCGTTATCGGCGGCGGCGGACGGCGGCGGCGGCGGCTGGCCGGACGGCGTCGACCGGCCGTGCGGCGGGTCCTGCGCTCTGAGGCCGGTCGGCTCGTTATCGGCGGCGGCGGACGGCGTCGACCGGCCGTGCGGCGGGTCCTGCGCTCTGAGGCCAGTCGGCTCGTTATCGGCGGCGGCTGGCCGGCCGGCGTCGACCGGCCGTGCGGCAGGTCCTGCGCTCTGAGGCCGGTCGGCTCGTTATCGGCGGCTGGCCGGCCGGCGTCGACCGGCCGTGCGGCAGGTCCTGCGCTCTGAGGCCAGTCGGCTCGTTATCGGCGGCGGCTGGCCGGCGGCCTAGGCTGAGAACAGCGGCTCCCGGGACCCGTCCACCTGACGCCGCTCCGTCGTCATTTGTAACGGAGCGGCCCGAGTAAGCTGCCGCTGAGCCCAGCGCCGTCCGCTCGCCGACGTCGACGCGTCGGTGCCGACGAGGGCTCATCGGCGCCGTGTCGCGGTGATCAGTCACGCTCCCGCCGCGGTCGACCACAGCCGGTGCCGAGGCGCCACCATCTCCGGCGGCGTCGACCAGGGCCCGTTCAGAGCCGCGACCACCGCCACTGCTGGCCCGAAGTCGTGACGCGCCGCCTCCGATGCGCGGCGGCGCTAAGTCGCGCGCCGTCGCGCCGGACATGCCGCCGCTGCGCCGGAAATGATCTCCCGGCGCGCGCGGCCTATCTGCAGGCATTCATCATGGCCGAGCGTCCGCGGGCAATGTTCGGCCGCTGCTGGGCAATTAGCCGGTCGAAGCGACGCGTCGTGATAAAGTATGGAAGCAGCGGCGAAACGCCGGCCGACAGCGCTCAATTTGCCTGCGGTGCGCCGCGGTCTGTGCAGTGCGCGGCGCTGCTGGCTCGCGCCGCCGTCGACCCAGCCGCCCGCCGCCGGGCTTTGTTGCGATGCTCGACGAACGTCAAACACGCGGCATTGTGATGCAAATGGATCGCCTGTCGATTAGGGGAGGGCGGAAATCTTAAGCGGGATAGTACGGCCTTGTGCCGGGACCGCGGCCGCTGCCGCCGCCGGCTGCGCTGGCGGGTTGGGCGGCCGGCAGCCGTCGGCGAGGTTGCGCACAGAACGAACGTGTGCACTGTCAATACCGTAAGCTGTCTGATTCGCATGGCAGATCTGCGCTACCTTACGTGCATGGGTTAGAACATCCAACACTTTTCCCTGTGCGAAAGACTTGTCATGGCAGCTATGTTGTTCACGAGGGAGTCAAGATCGAGATGGTCTTCTGAGAAGAACCAGTTAAGTCAAATTCTGGGAACGTGGGACGGGCGATGTGTCCACGCTCTGCTGCACTCGACGCGCCAGGGCCGAGCCTGGGCGAGCGTGGCCGGGTAATGTGTCACATACGCACACGGCCGGGCGGGCCACGTTAAAGCGCGATCCGCCGCGCGAAGCTGTTAACATTCGCTGATCGTTTCAGGCTCGAGCCGGACGTCCACCTCGCTGCTCTGCGCCCTCTGCAAGGAGGGCTTCAGCAGCGCCTGGGACCTGATGGTGCATTTCCAGACGGCCCATACGGTTAACATCTACCGGCTGGGCTCGCCGCCTAAAGATGCGGTGAGACCGGGCTCCAGGCCGGTGGGGGTGAGGCCGGGCTCCAGGCCGGTGGGGGTGAGGTCGGGCTCCAGGCCGGTGGGGGTGAGGCTGGGCAATGCGACAGAGCGGCCGGTGGTGAGGCCGGGCTCCAGGCCGGTGGGGGTGAGGCTGGGCAAGGCGACAGAGCGGCCGGTGGTGAGGCCGGGCTCCAGGTCGGCAGGGTCGAGGCTGGGCAAGGAGACAGAGCGGCCGGTGGTGAGGCCGGGCCCCTGGCCGGCAGGGTTGAGCCTGGGCTGGGCGACAGAGCGGCCGGCGGTGAGGCCGGGCTCCAGGCCGGCGTACTGGGGCTGAGCTGGGCGACAGAGCGGCCGGTGGTGAGGCCGGGCCCCTGGCCGGCGGGGTTGAGCCTGGGCTGGGCGACAGAGCGGCCGGCGGTGAGGCCGGGCTCATCAGCCACTTTGTTGAAATGGTTCAAAGTAAGATGATAACGGCATACCAAACTTTCCTTTATGCATTGTCACCCTGGTAAGAAACATTTCACACTGAAAGGCATACAAGACCTGGTTCGTTCGAGTACCCACAATCTTACACCGATAACTACATTGAACTCATCAAACTATTTCACAACCCAATTTTAGCATCTTGTTTATTTAAAAACGTTTCATGCATAGAGTGCTATCTGAAAAACGACGGTCACATTATTCTGCATACGATTTGACACATAGCGTTGCACATCAGGGCAGGGTGCTAAAGACCGCACACAAGCTTTGCCGGAACCAAAAAGTGGAGGATCGTGCCAAGATGGACGAGCTCGAGCCTCCTCAACTCGCGCCCCCCCCCCCCCCCTCTCCTCCCCTTCTACTGAACTTGATGGGGAGCTCTCTCGACATTTTACTTCATGGTCATTAGAAATGGACGAGCGGTAGTGACAAAAACGTGGCATGAAACTACTTCCCGGTTTTTCTCTAAATCGCTAAATTTAGCCAAGGTAGCATTTTCAAAAACAACATCTTTCGGGAAATAGCATTCAAGGCTGATGCACCCGGGGTGGCACCCCGTCTCTCCCTTGTTGATGTCATGAAAGCACACCGATGACGAGAGTTTTGTCGGGGCTATGTTTCCTATAGTTTTCTGGTCTCTTCATGGGAGCCCATTTTTCCACTTGGTCGCTTACGCGCTCCGGCCAACGGCAGCCATTGTGGGCGGAGAGCGCTGGCTGCGCTGGACAATGGCTATTGACCCCAGCTACCAGGTGACGTCAACCAGGGTTGACCAGAGTCCTGCCCGGCCATGACTGTTGACCTCATTCACTCGGTGACATCCGCCAGGCTCCATCAGTCCTGCCTGGCCGTGGCTGTTAACCCCAGTCACCAGGCGAAGTCCGCCAGGCTCGGTCAAAGTTCTGTCCAGTCGCTTTGTGCGTACAAACTTTCGTCGTCATTGGGACTTTACAACGCACTGAGCTGCTGAGACTACGTGGCGTCGCCTGCCTCTCACACTGGCAGGAACGGCTGGTGCCGTGGGGAATCAAGACGCGTACTTCTGGTTTCCCAGACGTGTGGTGGTTAACGCAGAAGCGCTAACCACTACCCTTTTGACACCTTGCACCCCATCTGCATGCAAACTTTTAGCTCGGAACGCAGACTGATAGTTGAGCTAGCTCTGTCAAGATCGTACACAGCCACTCTTTCGCCCTCTTTTACCGATGCGCCTGCAGTACGCGGACTGTCTGGTTAACGAGATCTGGCCCCTGCCATTGGTCTGCCTTCTCAAGCGGCAGTGACCTGTTTATGTTCGACGTATGTCTGGTGTGTACTATGGTGGGCTCTCAGCTCCAGTTGAGCCGTGTGGTGGGGAACGGCCTGGTCTGGTAGCTGACCGCCAGCTGGGCGAGGGCAATGCGAGCGGGACATTTGAACAACGAGGCCATTTGGCAAAAGCCGGGAATCGTTGGTAGCTGAACGCAGTGCTGTATGTATGACCTTCCCTCCCTCCACGGCTTCGTAAACAATAGACTGGTGTGCCAAAGCTATCTTCAGGAAAAGTTGCAGCCATCATGACCGAGCGTTCTGCAAACTATGACGGAACAACGGTGCAGACCATTCTCCTTCAAACTAGTTTATCTCGGTACAAACAAAAATACACAAGTTTGCCAGATTGCTGGGTGCGATAAATCCAACGTCAGTTTGTCGCGCAAGTTCGGGCTCCTCCGATGGCGGATCAATAGTACAGGGCGCGGGGGCGCGGCCAAGATGTGCCACCGAGGCTGCCTGGATTAGCACCGGGGAAGGACAGAGCTTCTCAGGGCCAACTCGCAGCCCCGTTCACAATAGTGCTACACTGCGCATAGACTACAGACCCTATAAACGCTAACAGGTATGGTACCTAACGTACGAATGGACTAGCAAATGCTGGTTTGCCCTGCCGCTGAAGATGGTGGCCTCAGCTTCGTTTAGTGCATATCCACTCGGATGCCCTTGGTCTTGTTATTACATTTCTGCGATTGGGTGCGATTTGGCACTGCGCAGGGTGATCAGTGACATTTAAAGCCTAACATCATTCCTGATCACCAGATTGCGAAATCATATCCAGAACTGTCGTGGTGAAGAACTGCGCTCGATCATGAAGGGAGGGAATGGCTAGAGCCCGTTTAGTCCCCCCCCCCCTCCGACCATTAGGTGCACTTTTGACAGCACGTACCGGAAGCAGAGGTGCCTGGCAGTAAAACGTCTAGCAACACTTAACAAGCGCCCTTCGTTCAATTGCCTGACAGGCTAGTCACCCTGCAGTTCTCATTTTTGGTTCGGCTCTGCCGTTGTTGGAGATCGTGATGCCCCACAAGAGTTTGTCTCGTTTGGGAGAGTCAATGAAACTCTGCGCTTTGGACAATTTCTGCTGCGTCTCAACGAGAATCAGCCATCTTTTTGTCTGCCGGTCTAATATTTTGATATTCGATATGCTTTTTACTTACGGGGAACTTTGTTCTCACGTCAGCGTGTTGTCCCATCTGTAATCCCATTGACCTCCGGCGGGCTACGAGCTGCGCACCACGAGGACTGGATCAGTGCAGTCCGGTCATCTGCCGTGTCCCTCGTGAGGTTCAGGGCAGGGAAGGGCTTTGCACCCATTGAGGTGACGTGGGCCAAGAGCTCCAACCACAGGCAGCAGCAAACAGACCGGAGAGACCGGAGTCTACCTTCACGCGGAAATTCCTGCCGGTGGTGCATGAGTTGAATGCGGTTCTGGGTATGCTGGGGCGAATTGTGTGTGTTATCACGGCTCTGGGGCGTGTGTTTGTTGCTCTCGACATTCCTGTGGGGATGAAGCATCCGGAGCATTTGAAGTCGTGAAAGCAAATGGATATCTGTTTTGAGTGGTGAGGACCACCTTTGCATGATGGAGTGCAAAACTCGACGGCATACTGCACTTACGATCTTGTGATTTGAAATGTTGTCAGATTAGATGGATCTGTATGTCAGTCCCATTCAAGCGCCGTTCCCATCCCCAGACATTCCAAGCAAGGCATCCAGAATTTCCATGCAAGAGTAACTGCCACTGGTTCCTGAATCCTGCACCGCTTGAAATTGATGTGTTCCCGGAAGGAGGCCGGCCTGACAGGATAAATCCAATGAACGTCGCACATTGCGCGCTTGTGAAAACACAACTGGCTTGAAAAGTGAACACCGATGAGCGTTCGCATAAAAAGCGGCAACAAAAACTGACGCAAGCACTGAACGCAGCCAATGCCACATTGGAAACATGCCAGCCTCCTTACATTGTTTTTGCTCCCGCAAATGCTCGCCATTCAGCCACACGGACTTCAGCTGTGACAAATCGGTTCGCCCACCTCAGCACGTGTTGAACGAGACGTGGCGCAGACACGGCCGTCACCAGCCGCAACCACCGACGCAGACACGGCCGTCACTAGCCACAATCACCGACGCAGACAGGGCCGTCACCAGCCACAAATGCACACGCAGACACGACCGTCACCAGCCACAAGTGCACACGCAGACACAGCCGTCACCAGCCGCAAGCTCCGACGCAGACACGGCCGTTACCAGCGACGAGCGCATGCGCAGACACGGCCGTCACCAGCCACAAGCGCAGGCGCATATCGCAGCTTTTTGGCGGGTCCTTTGCGCCGAGCTGCCGTCAAAGGGCCTGGCTCCTGACATGAAGAAGACGCATTTACCGCTGCCTGCCTTGGCGGCCCATTTCAGTGACTTATGGCGGCGGCCGGCCTGCAGCACACGTGGCCCGGCCCGCGTGCCCGCCCCGCCCTTGCTCCATCCGTCGCCGCTTCATAAGCAAGGTGCGCGACTGCCGTCGGCCCTTCGCCGCTCCTCGTGATTAATCACGTGACGTCAGGCGGCGCGGCGCAAAGCCAAGCCCACCAACGGTAACAATAGGCCCGGTGCTTTGATCAAGTGGCATGGGTGCCATTGATCTTGAGACCCTGTCGCGATCCGGACAAAATTAAACGGCACCAGGGACCGCTTGCGCACGGGGGTGAGAAGGTGCTGTTGGCCGAGGCGAGTGCCAGCATGTCAGACGAGGACAGATCGAAGAGCAGGGGCCCAGGAGTTCAACCAAAGCCGCTGCTCAACTCCCCAAACATGCCCTGGTTCGTACTCAAATGCTTTATTCAGCCATTCCTGTTTGTTATATTTGGGTTTTTCTCGGCAACCAAGTGGTTAATTTCCACATCCAAGCTTACAGCCATCTTTCGGCTAGCCTTTAGCACCGTGAGGCGGACGAGTAACTTCCCGTAGCTTCTAAGCTCTCAAAACTATTTTTGCCCGTGCGCCGTGAAGCGGCATGACATTGCAGCTCCTCGGTCGATGAGCCTATATGACCTGACCCACCATGTTGAATGGGATAGAGTATCTCACAGACAAGTGCCATGTCGGTTGGAACTATGCATCCCTGTCCATGTCGTTTTAGTCAAAGTTGGGTGGCGCGCCTCCAAATCCAGGAACCTAAGCACGCCAGCTCATCTGGCTCGCTAGGAAACAGTT